CTGCACCTCCGCCTGGGGTTTTCCAAGCGGGATGTTCCCTGCTCCTTCCAGGGAACTTTGGGAGGGCCGAGGCGCGCGTCATCTGAGTTAGGGAGTTCTGAGGCCAGCCTGACCGTAGAACATGGGTAAAAAGAGCCCCCTGTTCTTACTAAAAATATAACAAAGAATTAGCCAGGTGTGGGTGGGCAACTACGGCCTGTAAGACTCAGCAGGAGGCCTGGAAGTGCACGGAGAATCAACTTGAACCCTGGGGTGGAGATGGTGCAGGGAGCCAGATCTTCCCCGCATATACACTCCAGCCTGAAGGAACAGATCCAAGGACTTCCATCTTTCAAAAAAAAAAAAAAAAAAACAAAAATCAGCGGGCGCATGGGGGGGCTCCCGCAAGCCTGAGTCCCATGCACTTTGGGAGAGGGCCCGAGGGTGGGCGGATCACGAGGCCAGGGAAAGAATAAGCCCTCCATCCCTGAGTAACAAGGAAGAACCCCGTTCTCCACTAAAAAATACAAAAAAACAGCCGGTTGGCCGGGGCGGGTGCCGTAGTTCCCAGGCTAACTCGGGATGGCTGAAGCAGGAATGGCGTTGAAGCCTGGGAGCGGAGGCTTGCCAGGTGGAGCCCGGACGCATCGCCGCCCACGCCATTCAGCCTGGGCGATCTGAGCCGGAGTCCGTCTCAAAAAAAAAAAAAAAAAATTTTAGTTTTGCTGTGGTTCCCAGGTTGGTCTCAAACTCCTGGGCTCAAGCGATCCTCCCACCTCAGCCTCCCAAAGTGCTGGGATTACAGGCCTGAGTGACTGCACCCAGTGTTAGCTGGGTTCTGAAGACAAAGGGTTTCTCAGAAGGTGGGAATACAAACCGGGCAGTGGATTTCATCTTTCGCGATCTGGAAGATTCACGGGTAGTGGCCACAGCTGTGTTCCCTATAATAACTCTACCCACTCTCCCACCCGTATACTAGGCCCCTCGATGCTTCCTCCTATAGCAGCAGCTTCTAAAAAGGTCTTTGTGTTGAAACCACTGGGGCTCTGCCCAAGAGGTGACTCATCCTGTGCAGTTACTGAGAGGGCAGAAAACCACAGAGGCGGCGGGAGGGGCAGGCAGGGAGCAGGAGGCAGCAGGAAGGGCCTGTGTTACGGGCATCACATGCAACTTAAGGAAAATGAAGAAAAACGAACACTCCACAGCTGGGAAAACGCATGACTTTTCTGTGCAGCGGCACAAAAAATAAAAATAAGCGGTTTTGAATTAACTGTGGCTACAACTAGGATATGAAGAACACACACATGCTATTAATCGACTGGTAAGAATTTTTTTTTTCTTTTTTGAGACGGAGTCTCGCTCTGTCACCCAGGCTGGAGTGCAGTGGCGCGATCTCTGCTCACTGTGACCTCCCCCTCCCGGGTTCACGCCATTCTCCTGCCTCAGCCTCCCCAGTAGCTGGGACTACAGGCGCCCGCCACTACACCCAGCTAATTTTTTGCGTTTTTTAGTAGAGACGGGGTTTCACAGTGTTAGCTAGAATGGTCTCGATCTCCTGACCTCGTGATCCACCCGCCTCCGCCTCCCAGAGTGCTGGGATCACGGGCGTGAGCCACCACGCCCAGCCTGATGATAATTTTTAACAAAAAGTTGTCTGGGCATGGTGGCTCACACCTGTAATCCCTCTGGGAGGCTGAGGCGGGCGGATCACGAGTTCAGGAGATGGAGACTATCCTGGCTAACATGGTGAAACCCCGTCTCCACTAAAAATAAAAAAAATTAGCTGGGCGTGGTGGCGGGCGCCTGTAATCCCAGTTACTCAGGAGGGCGAGGCAGGGGAATCGCTTGAACCTGGGAGGCGGAGGTTGTAGTGAGCTGAGATCCCACCACTGCACTCCAGCCCAGGCAACAGAGTGAGACTCTGTCTCCAAAAAACAAAACAAAACGAAAAAACGAAAAGTTTCTGTAGGCCGGGAGTGGTGGCTCATGCCTGTAATCCCAGAACTTTGGGAGGCTGAGGTGAGTGGACTGATTGACTCCAGGAGTTAGACACAACATGGTGAAATCCCATCTCTACAAAAAAATAAAAAAATTAGCTGGACACGATGGCGTTTGCCTGTAGTTCCAGTGAGCGGGGAGGCTGTGGTGGGAGGATCACCTGAGCCCAGGAGGTCGGGGCTGCAGTGAGCCCTGAGGCTGGTACCACTGCACTCCCGGATGACAGTGAGATCCTTGCTCTCCTTCAAAAAAAAACAAGGTTTTGTAGAGATAGGGTCTCACTATATTGCCCAGGCTGGTCTCAGACTCCTGAGCTCAAGCAAACCTCCCACCTCGGCCTCCCAAAGTGCTGGGATTACAGGTGTGAGCCACCATGCCTGGCCTTGTTTTTTTTTTTCTTTTTTTTTTTTTGAGACAAAGTTTGGCTCTTGTTGCCCAGGCTGGAATGCAACGGCACGACCTCAGCTCACTGCAACCTCCCCCGCCAAGTGCAAGCGATTCTCCTGCCTCAGCCTCCCAGGTAGTTGGGATGACAGGCGCCTACCGCTATGCCTGGCTAATTCTTTGTATTTTTAGTGGAGACAGGGTTTCACCACGTTAGCCAGGCTGGCCTCGAACCCCTGACGTCAGGTGATCCACCCGCCTTGGCCTCCCAAAATCCTGGGATTACAGGCATGAGCCCCCACGCCCAGCCTGGATATTTTTTAAAGTAGGTAATTTTATTTCCTGTTACATAAAAAATGAAAAGAATTATACAAACAGTGTATGTTTTTGTAGGAAAATCGGTGTTAGGTAAAAACAGAAACAATTTTAAATTACAAGGCTCTGTCCATAGGGTCAGTTAAAAATTGTGTGACGTGCTTCTGGATTTGTATGTGTGTGCGTAGAGCAGATGTGCGATCATCTTGTACACAGTGTTTGTAACCTGATTTATTCACTGATTTATATTGAAATGCCTTTTCACACCAACAGGCACATTCTGCCACTTCCAGTTTTGGCAGGTGTGTTCTGCTGGGAGTGTGTGGGCAGAGCACCGTTTGCTCAGTCCATTATCTCTTCATGGACTTTCAGGTTGCTTTAAAATGTTTGCTATTATAAAAAGGCTAGCCGGGCGCGGTGGCTCACGCCTGTAATCCCAGCACTTTGGGAGGCCAAGGCAGGTGGATCGCCTGAGGTCAGGAGTTCAAGACCAGCCTGGCTAACACGGTGAAACCCCCGTCTCTACTAAAAATATAAAAAATTAGCTGGGCGTGGCAATGTGCGCCTGTAATCCCAGCTACTCAGGAGGCTGAGGTAGGAGAATTGCTTGAACCTAGGTTGCAGTGAGCCAAGATCGCGCCATTGCACTCCAGCCTGGGCAACAAGAGCGGGATTCTGTCTCAAAAGAAAAACAAACAAACAAACAAAGCTGTGTGCGCATACGTCTTTGGACATCCGCCTGCTGGCCTCCTGCTCTCCGAGGATGTGGTCATGCACTGCTAAGTGACTCTTCAGAGGTTGTCCCAACTTACATTCCCCCTAAAAGGGGGACAGAGCCATTTTGTAGAACTCTCAACATTTCTTTTATACTTTTTTTTTTTTTTAAATGAGGCTTTTTTTCCCTTTACTTTTATTTTTCAATTTTTTTTGGGACAGGGTCTTGCTCTGTCACCCAGGCTGGAGTGCAGTGGCACAGTCAAGGCTCACTGTGGCCTTGACCTCGTGGGCTCAAGGAATCCTCCCATCTCAGTCTCCCGGGCAGCTGGGAACACAGGCACGTGCCACCACCACATTGGGCTAATTTTTGTGTTTCTGTTGTAGAGATAGGGTCTCCCTATGTTACCCAGGCCGATCCCAAACTCCTGGGTTCCAGCAATCCCCTCTCAGCCTCCCAGACTGTTGGGATTACAGGCATGAGCCACTGTGCCTGGCTATATTTCAGTCTGTTTCTGAGCCAGCACCACAGGTTTTTAAACTGGTGTTGTGGTGTTACGGTACCTTCTAGTATCTAATATCTGCTCTCCCTCTTACATCTTCCTTTTCAACATTTTCTTGGTTATTCCTAATTTCTCCTTCTAGATTAATTTGAGAATCACTCTGAATCACCTACACACATATTTATTTTTTGGTTATGCAACTCACCTGTCAGAAAGCGCCAGGTCTCTGACCCTTAGCAAGGGGCCATTTTTTTTTTCCTTTTAAACATGAGGTCTCGGCCGGGCGCGGTGGCTCAAGCCTGTAATCCCAGCACTTTGGGAGGCCGAGACAGGCGGATCACGAGGTCAGGAGATCGAGACCATCCTGGCTAACATGGTGAAACCCCGTCTCTACTAAAAAATACAAAAAACTAGCCGGGCGAGGTGGCGGGCGCCTGTAGTCCCAGCTACTCGGGAGGCTGAGGCAGGAGAATGGCGTAAACCCAGGAGGCGGAGCTTGCAGTGAGCTGAGATCCGGCCACTGCACTCCAGCCTGGGCGACAGAGTGAGACTCCGTCTCAAAAAAAAAAAATAAATAAAAAAAAATAAAGATGAGGTCTCAGGCCGGGCACAGTGGCTCACATCTGTAATCCCAGCACTTTGGGTGGCTGAGGCAGGAGTGCCACTTGAGGCTAAGAGTTCGAGCCCAGTCTGGGCAATATAATAAGACCTTACCTTTGCAAAAAATAATTAGCTGGGCATACTGTTGCATGCCCATAGTGCCAGCTACTTGGGAGGTTGAGGCAGGAAGACTGCTTGAGATGGGGTCTTGCTCTATGGAGATGGGTCTTGCTCTGTTATCCAGACTGGAGTACAGCAGCATGACCAAGGCTCACTGCAGCCTTGACCTACTGGGCTCAAGCAATTCTTCTGCCACAGCCTCCTGAAGCACAGCGACTACAGGTGAGGAGGCCCAGCCCCTAAGGTTGAGTTCTTCATTTCAGCAAGAAGATGCTCAGGGCTAGACTTGGGGTGACAGAAAACTCATCTTGAGGAAGTGAAGAGTCCTCTGATGGGGCTTTTGGGGCTGGACGCTGGATAACTCTTATTTATTTATTTATTTATTTATTTTTACGTCTTTTCATTTTTATTACTTAAAAAAGTTTCATTTTTTTAATTTAGCTTTCTGACTCTGTGCTTGTGCCTTCAACACTTTCTCAACGATTTTCTGCTCCTCGATAGGGAAAGCACGCCTGATCCTGTCACAAACACATTTAGCACACATGGAACCACCATAGGCCCTGCTGACATGTTTCTTTGTTTTGGACAATCTCATAAGAACTTTAGGTCTTATAGCACGAATCCCTCGAAGTCTGCCTGGGCACACACCACATGCAGATTTTGGTGCTTTCCCAACCTTCTTAGTATAAAGGTAAACAATTCTATTACCAGGGGTTCGGGACAGCCTAGTTTTGTTAGAGGCTGTATTGTAGGAAAGCCTACGTCGGTATGTCAAACGCTGGACCACTCTGAGTGCCTGCAGACAATGTCCCTGGAAGAGCGAAAATTCTTATTTATTTGTATTTTTTGGAGACGGCTCTGTTGCCCAGGCTGGTGCGCAGTAGTGAGATCTTGGCTCACTGCAACCTCCATCTCCCAGGTTCAAGCGATCCTCCTGCCTCAACCTCTGAGTAGCTGGGATTACAGGCGCCCACCACCACGCCCCGCTAACTTTTGTATTTTTTTTTTGAGATGGAGTCTCGCTCTGTCGCCCAGGCTGGAGTACAGTGGTGTGATCTCGGCGCACTGCAAGCTCCGCCTCCCGGGTTCATGCCATTCTCCTGCCTCAGCCTCCCGAGTAGCTGGTACTACAGGCGCCGCCACCTCGCCTGGCTAATTTTTTGTAGTTTTAGTAGAGATGGGGTTTCACCGTGTTAGCCAGGATGGTCTCGATCTCCTGACCTTGTGATCCGCCCACCTCGGCCTCCCAAAGTGCTGGGATTACAGGCGTGAGCCACTGCACCTGGCCAACTTTTGTATTTTTAGTAGAGACAGGATTTCACCACGTTGGCCAGGCTGCTCTCGAACTCCTGACTTCAAGGAATCTGCCTGTCTTGGCTACCCAAAGCACTGGTATTACAGGTGTGAGCCACTGCACCCGGCCCAGAGAATATTTTTATTTAAAGATCATTGGCCAGGCGCGGTGGCTCACGCTTGTAATCCCAGCATTAGTCTAGCCCTGAGCATCTTTGGGAGGCCGAGGCGGGTGGATCACCTGAGGTCGGGAGTTCGAGACAAGCCTGACCAACATGGAGAAACCCTGTCTCTACTAAAAATACAAAAATTAGCCGGGCATGGTGGCACACACTTGTAG